GTTCCAAGATACAAAAAACATAGGAGGCATTTTAATAGTGATTTTCAAGCTTTATTTCAGTGCTTCAATGAGGCTATACTATAGAACCAATATAAAAGAAAAGAGAGCAATAGCAAAGACAAGTTTGAACCACATCAGCACTAGCCTTATATTGGTAAAATTTGTCAATTTTTTTAAAAACCTGAGACATATTTCCTCTTCACATGTCATTTTCTGACCACAAAAAAAAAAAAAAAAAAACTATCACAAAAAGACATATATTTTTTTAAGTTTACTTACTTATTTTGAGAAAGAGAGAGAGAGAATCCCAAGCAGACTGCTCCACAGTCAGTGCAGAACCCGATGCGGGGCTCAAAATCAGGAACGATGAGATCATGACCTAAGCCAAAGTCGGCCACTTAACTGACTGAGCAACCCAGAAGCCCCAGAAAAAGATATTTTTTAAAAGTAGCCGATGAGTGGGGCGCCTGGGTGGCGCAGTCGGTTAAGCGTCTGACTTCAGCTCAGGTCACGATCTCGCGGTCCGTGAGTTCGAGCCCCGCGTCAGGCTCTGGGCTGATGGTTCAGAGCCTGGAGCCTGTTTCCGATTCTGTGTCTCCCTCTCTCTCTGTGCCCCCCGCCCCCGTTCATGCTCTGTCTCTCTCTGTCCCAAATAAATAAATAAACGTTGAAAAAAAAATTTTTTTTTTTTAAAAAGTAGCCGATGAGTGAGGTATTGGGTTTTGATAATTAAAGTCTTTTTAAAAGAAAACTTAAGTGAGAGGTACCTGGATGGTTGAGTGGGTTGAAAGGCAGTCTCTGCCCCTCCCCCACTCACGCTCTCTCATGCTCTCTGGCTGCCTCACAAAAATAAACATTTTTAAAAAATGAATTTCAAAAATAAAAACAAATGAAATTAACCATATAGCTCTACTTTCTGTAACAAATATGAGTAACTTATACTGAAATACATAGCATGATTTCATGGGCCCTATGTGTTCTCCCATTAACAGTAAAATGTACATTGGGTGCCTGGGTGGCTCAGTCAAGTTAAGTATCCGACTTTGGCTCAGGTCATGATCTCATGGTTTCTAGGTTCAAGCCCTGCATCTGGCTCTGCTGACAGCTCAGAGCCTGAAACCTACTTTGGATATTGTGTCTCCCTCTCTCTCTGTCCTCCCCCACTCACTCTCTGTCTCTCTCAAAAATAAACATTAAAAAAAAATTTTTTTAATAGAAAGTAAAGTTTATATGAGTTACATGTTTAGAATACTGTAGATATTGATATAAAGTCATTTATTTAATCAAGGAAGAATAACCCTATGCCAAGTGAGTGATATCATTCGTTTTATTGGTCTGATCCCTAATCATTTCAAAGAGAAAATTGTGGGATATGGAGGGAGGTTGAGTAAGAGGGGATGTAGACTGCAGAGTAGAATATAGAAAGAAAGGAAGGTTGAGAGGAGCCTAATACCTTAAAAAATGTATCTTAAATGCATACTCATCCCCATACAATAGTCTTCTGTTGGGAATTTTAAAATGGTTTTTTAAAAATCAATTGTAAATATCTTTTACTTTTAGGCCTGTTTGTCTTATTATAGCAAACTACAATTTAATAACAACTCAAACTGCCAAAAAGAAACTATATACTTTATGGTACAGAAATATAAACTATAGACTCATTAAGAAGGTAACCAAAGGAAATCTTGTACTGGTCCTTTAAAGGCTACACCTACTATACCACTGACTGTAGAAGCCTGGAAGTTAGTGTCTCATCTGAAGAGTACCAACAGAACCAGTGCATGTATTAATATTAATACTTGTAGTTTCAGAATTGTTTACAATCTTAGTTGTGCTTTATTTTTAAGTTTTAAAAAATTACATTTTTTCTATTTATTCTGATTGTAAAATGGAAACTCTTTTATAAGTGTTCTATAATATGAAATGTGTGGATTTACCATTTAATTAAGCCAGGAGATTTAGTAATGCAGTTTATAGTAAATCAAAAATAACCACTTAAGAACTGGAAAAAAATACATAAAAATAGTCTGGCATGTCTTATAAAACATTGTTTAATTTATAGCATAAACCCCTTCAAAGTGGTAAACATCTCACTACCATACATCTCACAGGTATGGCCATTCCTTTCAAAGAATCTATTTTTTTTATTTATCAGCATTGAGATTCAATTTACATAATGGAAAACAATGGAGAACAAACAGCCCAGCCACTATTTCCAGAAAAAAAAAAACTCTAATGATTTTAATACATACATTATCAATTTCTAGCCTTGAATATGAATATGTGTACTGTGAGAAGTAAAATAACATATCTAACTTATTACAGTTGTGACATCTAAATAAAGCACCATAAACCAAAAAATAATTGCTTTATAGTCAAAGGCACAAGTTCAATTTGGTAAAGCCACTGGACTCACTGCGCTATATTACAGAAGACAGAGGTTAAGAGGTGACCTTGGGATCCTGCTTTCCAGATGTCTGAAGGGTCCATTTCTTAATGAAATTATCTCTACTCTCAATAAATATTTAGCTTACTAATTACCCAGTCAATATATTCGTCTATATAAGACTCTACTTGATTTTTGAAATTTTAGGACTATAGTTATTATAAAGAAAAAATTTATGAACATACAACTTGCACAAAGGATTAAGATATATTTCCCCTCTGATGCAATGCACAAGAAGATTAAGAAACTTACTATCACACATTTTACATTATGGGGCATATTTTCTGAGATTTTAAATGAGAAATTCAATAAACCTGAAGCATCTACTTTCCATTATTTCAGATCATGAAAAGATTTAATTTGTAATACTATATATATAATACATGTATATATATTATATATACATTATATGTAATACATATATTACATATAATGTATATATAATATACATATATATTCCACAAATAACTATATACAGATATATGCCCATATCAATTCCTTTACTCTTTTAATTAAAAATTTATGTTCCTTCAGGTCATAAAAATAAGGGTTTGGGCATTTTAAAAGTTCAAACACATATTAAGCTATGCTTTCTTTGCTTTGGCACTAGCTCCCCCTCCAGACCAACCTACTAATATAACTGTACTTAAAAAAATAAACAACAAGTTTTTCCAAACCACTAGCAAATTTCAAGATTCACCTCTTTTAAGAAAATTCCAGTACCTTAAAATAACTAATTAAAACTGAAATCAAACACTGCATAATGTAATCAGAATTATTTTTTTAATTCCATACATCTCAAAAAGAACTGACCTGTAGGAAAATAACTTCAAGTGACTCTTTAAGAACATCCTAAACAATATATATAGTGCTATATTTTATAGGAATTATTTTGAATCACTATCCTAATAAACCACAATATACTCATGTTAACTCACTACTTGATCAAAGATACATTTTTGCATGTTTCTGCAATCCATGCAAGTTTCATTCCAGCTGTTCAGCTCTTCAAGTACAATTCTCAATTTATAAAAGCAGCAAAAGGAAAATCCAGGTCTCCAACCATCTTCTATGTTCCTTACAGCCTATTCATTTTTAACTCCCTACATTTCTACATACTAAACTGTAAAATAACAAATTCAAATGTTTGAATGCCCACCTTATCCTTACTACCCTAATACTGTATTTTCATATGGAGCAATTAAGACTTTCTATACACATTTCATGGTATATCTCATAAGGTTAGCAATGTACAAGACCTTATCATTTAGCATACGTTTAGGGGTTTTTTTTTAGGTTATTTCAGAGAAGGGAGAATACAACTTACTCTATTATTTCAATACAGCACTGTTATGTTTAATTTCTCTCCTAAAATGTTTTCTATATAATGCACCCTTTAAAAGAATTATGCGTCAAAAACATGAAATTTAAATTTAATCAAGAAAATAAATATACACTTAACCCCAGGAGTAACAAGAAAAAAAAAAAAACTGCAATGAAACCTTGCCTACAGTTTCTAAAGACAGCCAAGTTAAAGTTCGGTCAATTACCCCTGATGAGCTTAATTCTAAACTGACAGAAAACTTTTGTTGAAATTTGTTCTGCGTTACCTCGAAGTTTGGGGTTATTACTGGAGATTCTGAATTTCCTAGGTTCGCCTTCTTGAGTTGGCTTAAGTCAACTGTAAATTAATTCAAACATGGATAGAAGAAAACACCTCTTCGTGCCTTTCTCCAAGGCCTCAATCAAAAGTCTAATAATATACGGCAAAACGCTAAGAGCTCACCAGGGATAAACCCTAACCAAGTCACTGCCATTTAACTTACACTGCGTCTCTGACGTTCTGTATGGCTGAAGATTGCAATCCCCACAGTAAAAGAACAGGTGCTGCACCCGACAACCCACTCACTCTTGCAGGACAAATCTTCTTTAATAAATAAGGGCTCATTGAACCTTCCCAAATAAGTTTAGATACTCAAAAGCCGCCAGCTCATCATTTCCACATCAATTGAGGGATGCAGTGGCACTCACGCCTTTAACTGCCCCGGCATTGGCCCCTCGCCGGGAGCGGATCTTTGTACGGGTCCACTCCCCGATTTCTGGCCAGAGAACCCCTCACGAAAGCCGGAAACGTGCAAGCATCCTCCTCCCCACAGTCCGTGACTACAGGGAACGAGTTGCTGGCAAAAGGGCAGGTAGGTGGAGAGGAGAGAAGAGGGACACCTCCCACCCCCGCCCCCATCATCCCTTCTCCTCTCCACGGCTTCGGCCCCTGCCCGAAGCAAGGATGCGCGACGCCGAGGACACCCGCGGAGGCAGGCGCCCCTCACCCTCAGCTCGCGCCCCCGGGCCGCGCCGGAGCGTCCCGGGGGCTTACTCCCCACTTTTCCGGGAGCCGCTGGGTAAGCAGCAGTTGCTGCAACAGGCCCGGGGAACGCCTGGGGGAAAAGAGCGGCGACAGCCCCAGTCACATCCCCAGAGCCTCCTCGGATCCCGCGCTAGCCCAGCCCCAGACCCCGAGGCGCGCGGGGCCCGGCTCCCAACGCCCCCTTACCCGAGGCGGGAGCAGAGGCGGTCTCCGCCGTCCCCAGCTGCCGCCGCCACCGCCGCCGCCACAGCCCTCAGCTGCAGCTGCCCCGTTGGGGAGTGGGAGGGGTGGCTGGGTGGAGGATGCTACTCCCGACTGAAGGGAGACGAAGAAACGGAAACAGGAACCGCCGCCGCCGCTTAACGGAGCCTTCGGCGCCACTGACTGAGCGAGAGCGCGAGGCGGCGCGAGCGGGGCAGTCGCTGACAGCGCGAGACCGAGCGCGAGCCGGGTCCCGGGCGCGCGACCCCGAGCAGCGCCGGCCCCATTCCGCGAGGAGAGGAAGGGGACGGGTTGACTGGGGCTGGGAGGGGGTGATGTGGGGCGGGGGCCTGGAGCTTAGGGAACCTGGCTACTCGGGTCTGCCGGAGATAACGCGCGCACGCGCCGGAGCGGCTCTGACAACGAGCGCAGGCGGGGAAGCCTTGGCTAGCGCAAGCGTGCGCGCGCGGGTGGGGGCGCGCGCCCCTCAGCGTTACAGGCTTCTGGGAGAGGGCGCGCATGCGCCGGCGGCTGCCACCTACGGCGACCCTGGCATGTGCCACGGCTTCTTCCCGCCCCCTTTTAGCTGAGCCGTGGATAGCGTAGCTGCAGCATCCGCTGCCAGGGAGCCGCGGGCCACAGAGGGACCGGGAGACTTCCAACAGGGCAACAACTGCGCTAGGGCGCCGGCTCCTACACGAGCACAGGCCGCCCTCTACTGCCTGCAGGCCGGAGACTGCTGGGGGCGAGTCGAGCCGAACTCCCCACTCCCGGGAGCGCCATCTCCCGGGAATGCCATATTCTCGATAGCCGGGGGAAGGACTGGCCCATGCCAGTGCAGCCCGCGGCCCTAAGGAGCACTAGTACTGAAGCAGGCTCCTTGCTACTTTTTAGAGGTGATCGCTGCTGCTCAGCCCCTGCAGCCCAGGTCTGGACGTTCGGCTGCAGCTAGCGGCGTGACCACAGAATGGCATCGCACCCACATGCAATTAGCGGAGCCCTGTTTTATCTTGTGAGAACTGTTTCTACATCTGCCCCGACAGAAAGACCTCCCACAAGGGCCTGAGTTTGATGCCTAGCCTCTCTCCCGACCCGCGGCTGCGACAGCCCCTTTGAAGCGGAAGTTTATTCAAAACGGGAAAGAGAACTTTGGGGAGGAGGGGTTCCCTAGGATGCTTCCTACCCGCACGCACTCGGGAAATTCCTGGCGCCCGCGATGCAGAGCAGTGGGCCGAAGAGCTAGGTCAGACCGGCCCAGACGGTGAGCTGAGCCGGAGGACCTAAGCGCGCAGCCCCGGCACACAAAGTAGTCGCGGGCCGAGGGAGGGGGTGCCACGAGGTCCAATCAAAGACGCGAGCCATGTGAGTGGAGTGCGAGCCGACCAATCAGACGGCCGGAGAATGAGCTTCCCGTTCCCAACTCTTCCCTGTAGCCTCCGGACCCAGATCCCAAGCCTAGAGCGCGGTACCGTGGAAAGCGAGATGGTGCCCTGAGGACAGAAAAATTATTTCTCTAGACTTGGGTGTTTTTAAGTGCCTTGCTTAGGTACTTATCCCAGAACAAATAGCAGCGGCGTTTTAGATGCTGAATATGAAAAAGATCACAGAAAAGAGATTTACAAGGCACTGGTCTGCCAAGACTGCAATCTGCCTAATAACATTCATAAATTTACAGTGTTTATTGAGACCTTTTTATAGGCCAGGAACTGTATTACAGAAAAAAACAAATAAGATAACTACTGATTTCCAAAGAAGAAAAAAAAGTTCCCTGCCCTCAATAAGCTCAGCTTCTTGGGTTTGCTGGGCCTTGTGACTCTGATATTTATTGTCAGTCCTTTAACGAAAAAGCTCTCAGCAAAGTAGTTTACCGTCGTTTTTATGGCTGTTATCTCCCTGTAAGAAGAGAAAACTAAGGGAAAAGTAGAGTGACCTATCTAAAGTCACACAAAAACAATATACTAGCGTAATCAGAATTATGTTCCAGTTCAGAGAGCTTGTATATCCATATTCAACAATTTTTTACTGAATGCATGGTTGCTGTCCTCCACTAAAAAGGTTTCTGTACCAAGCTTACAAATAGAACGGAATTCTGCTTGGAGGGCCACAAGCTTTGGTAGTTGGAAATGAACAGAAATTTTAGGTTTATGCCAAAGTAAGATGAGGTAAAGGCTGAAGTCTTTTAAGTCATACTCTAGATACTTTATAGAAGTCAGAGGTGAGATGGATATTTACTTCTTAGTTTAAACAGCATGTTTAAAAATATTTTACCAAGCATGTTTAACTTTAAAGCTTACCTTATATAATGCTTTAAGATCTCCAACTTCAAAGCTTTATTTTACATTTGCCTCAAGACATCCAGTTTTTTATCTGGCCTTCATTTTTCCTTTCCAAAAACGTAGGAATTAAAATACATATCTTCTCAGGGCACCCGGCTGGCTCAGTCAGTGGAGCATGTAACGCTTGACCTCAGGGTTGTGAGTTTGAGCCCCACCTTGGGTGCAGGGATTACTTAAAAATAAAATCTTTTGGGGCACCTGGGTGGCTCAGTTGTTAAGCATCCAACTCCGGATTTTGGCTCAGGTTATGATTTCACTGTTTGTGAGTTTCAAGCCCCACCTCAGAGTCCACATTCACAGCACAGAGCCTGCTTGGGATTCTCTCTCTCTCTCTGCCCTTCTCTCTCCCTCTCAAAAAATAAATAAACTTACAAGATAAAATAAAATCTTTTAAAAATTAAAAAAAAATTACTTACCTTCTTTACCTGCTTTTGCTTTAAAAAAAAAAAAAAAACAATTTCCTAGGGGTGCCTGGGTGGCTCAGTCGGTTAAGCGTCAGCCTTCAGCTCAGGTCATGATCTCACAGTCTATGAGTTCGAGCCCCGCGTCAGGCTCTGTGCTGACAGCTCAGAGCCTGGAGCCTGCTTTGGATTCTGTGTGTGTGTCTCTCTCTCTGCCCCTCCTCTGCTCATGCTCTGTCTCTCTGTCTCAAAAATAAATAAAAACATTAAAAAAAAATTTTTTTTAATAAAAAGTTTCCTAGGAATGTTTGTCCAAGATTTAGTGCACTTTGGTAGGATAGTATATTACATATTAAAAGGCCAAATAACTTGGGTGTCTCTAGAATATACTCAGAAACTAGCTATCTAGCAGCTCTGATTGTGTTGTGATGAGGCAATGTGCTTCTCACCCTGTGACAAAACACTGTTAACAAAGCCCTTTCCAGGACGTGCCCGGGATTGAACTGCCACCTCAGAACTGAAGTATCAGTTATACAAGTGACTTTCGGAACAAACCTTTACCCACTGAGTTCCAAGCCAATGATGAATTTCCAAAAAAAAATTCCCAACAGTTCCAGCTTTTAAAAAATACATTTCTTTTACTCTCTCCAGAGAGGAATATTACTAAAACTCTGCCTTTCTCTTGCTAGGTTAAGTTTCTGAGAGAAGTATCTCCAGAAGGTTCTAAACATTACTAGCCACCAGAAGACATTTCTATCAAAGGATGTTTTCTCCACAAGCTCCAGTTGCCCATCCCCCACCACCCACTGCTGCTCTTCGGGCCCCTCACTCTCTCTTCTCACCCCAGCTGCCTGCCTCTGCTTCTAGTTTCTGATATTTGCTTAAGCAAGTACAAGTGTTCCACCACTTCCTCCAACCTTCCTTCACAAACTAGCTTTTAGACCCATCTTTGCTTATCTGAAAACTTAACAGATAAGTTCTGCTCAGCAAGAGAATGTGCAGAACATTCTTTATGTCATATTATCCCAAGAACTAATAGAACCTTGTCGGTATGTTACATTCTTTTACGCAGCCTGCGTCAAATTCTTAGTCATCAACCAGAGCTGTGGGGTCTTGCAGGTGGGGCAAGAAGTTGTCAACCATTAGACAATGAAAAAGATGAAAATGAAAGTTAAAGTGAATACAGGAGTGGCCATTTTATTGAGAGATTAGCTAGATCAAAGTTAATGAACTTGAATATTATCACATTTCCAAAGTTGTGAATATTCATGCAGGAACTAGTTTCAAGTTTACTACTACCATTTTATTAATGACTATAATAAAAATAATAGCCGAAGTGTAATATTGTTGAGTGTCAGGTACCATGATAAACTCTTGCCTCCATCATTTAATTCTCAAATCAACCCTTGAAGTAGATCCTGTTATTATAATGGAATCTATGAGTTCACAGAGAAGAGTTAAAGAGGTTCTCAGCATTAGCTACTTACCAGATCATTTAGAAATGTTTCCATCTCGACCAATGTGAAACAACTGAATGTCAGTCATGGAAACTTTCTTCATAATCTTTAATTGTCCTTATTTTCTAAGTACTGCTCTAGATATATCTACTTAGAGGATTCCATTTTGCAGATCATTCAAAAGGCAACACTGTTTATTACATGCAAAAATGTAGACCTTGAAATAATCATTTAACCCATTTGACCCTTAGTTTTCTTATCTGTAAAATAAAGGGGGTGGTCTAGAGAAATTTTGGTTCTTTGCCTGTTTTAAAACTATAAATCTAGCCAGATTGACACACCACTGCCAGCAACCAAAACGAGATATGGAAAAACAGTCTATGCTTTGAAATCCAGTAAACATTTCAAAGTCACTGTGAACCAACTCCCTAAATAGAAATTCAGTCTACACCCACTCATTAAAGAGAAGATCCAATCTTTCCAATCAGAAGAGTAAATGAAGTGATTGATTTAAAGACTAATGAAACTATCTCTTTCTATGACTTTCCTCCATGGCTGAAATCTCTGTCTTCTTCATTGAGATAAAGCATCATATAATTTAATTATTCACATCCACTCCTATTCCTTCCTCATTAATAGAGTTCGTTTTTTGTTATGTTTGTTTGTTTTTTAGGTAACCATCCAACCTCTAGCTATACAAGGGCAATTGAATTAGCCTGTCAATCAATAAATTAATTCCCTAGTATGGTAGAGACTTGCTTACCCTCTTTCCTTGCATATAAAAAGATTACATTTTCACACATACATCGCTACTGCTCAACTCTACCCTTGCAGTTGAGCTGAACCATGTGACTAGTTATAGTCACTAGTCTATAGAGGGTTGTAGTTAGAAGTGGTATGTATCACTTCCAGCTATAGAATTTAATTGCAAGTATAAGTTCTTACAATGTTTACTCTTCCCCAGTCTCAAAACAAGTATTATTGAAGATGATAGAGCCTGTGTCAGCCTTCGTGCCTAAAAGGGGACAATGGGAACACCCTACCTTCCATCTTCATCAGGTCAGGATGGATACATGAGTAAAAAAATATACCTTTATTGTTTAAACCACTGAGAATTGGGGTTGTTTTTTACTGCAGCGTGACCTGGAATCTAGGTTATACTAGGTCTTAGATAATTCTAATTCTAATTCTAATTCTAATTCTAATTCAAGTATATCCTAATTTACCTGAAAACCATTATAGCCCTGGGGTGTACTGGCCCAATCAGACTGAAGGAAAGGATTTTTAGTCCCTGCTTGGAGGAGAGGATTCTCGCTTACCAGGTACAATGAG